TTGTGTCTATATTACAAAAAAGAGAAACAAATTCAAGTTAGATAAAAAAAAATAGTCTTGGATTTAATACAAATTACCAAAACTTACCGAAATAAGATTTAAACATGTTCGATAGCAAGATTTATTAAATCCCTGAATCAAGAACCAACTTGCAAACTCATCAACACCAAATTAAAACCCTTATTGCAAGGTTTACAAAAGCAACCTGATTTAGCTAATTGAAAGTACATTTCTATTTTTTACATTGACCTCAAAAAATGGTTAAATGCAAAAAAAAAAAATAGCAATGTAATTTTCTTGGGTTTTAACATTTATCTCCACCAAAGAACATCACACAATGTAAAAAAAATGAAATTAAGATGCCAACATTAATGAGATTGCATGTTGTAAGCTTCAATCTACTAATCAAATTGCATTACTCATGAATATGTTATTGCATTAATCAAAAGTGATAATATAATTAGTAACTTAATCAGATCAAATACATTTGTAGGGCCTTTACAAAAAATATATTGAAAATATTTTTATATCTAGAAATCTAAAGAAAGGGAAAAAAATAATTAACAACTTAAGCTCTTGTTTCAATCATTTTATGAACCAAATATTTGTAACCATTCCTGAATAGTATATTTCCTTGAATTGTCAGTCGCTTAATACATGGTAATGATAGTATTGGTTTTTGAAGGACTTTAAAGACTATTACAAAATAAAAACATACCAACCATTTATAACGTCAAAATCATAATGTATGTGAAAGTTACATGGTTTTTGGTTACTGTTATTGTTGCATCATATCAAATAAGAACTTTGGTGAGAGATTTAGTTCCTCAACCAATTTTCACTGCATCAGATGCATTATCTGCCCTTACATCAGAAAAAGAACAAAAAAAACCTTAGTTTTAGGGATCTATCTTTTACCTGAGACATTTCCATTGTTGGTTGTGGATGTTGGTGTTTTGCCTGCATCAGAATTTTACATTGAGATAATTAAAACAAAATAATGTTTACTTTATGGACCTGTATTTTACTTGAGACATTCATAGGGTTGGCACTTAGAAAATCACCACCAAAATTATGTGTGAGAAAGAGAAGAACGCTTGTATCTCTAACTTTTTGGTGGTTATCAAGCTTGTTCTTTTACACATAAAATACATATACAGATACAAACATAAATAAACACGTATACAAATAAGGATACATTATTTCTTTAAAACAATGAAGAACCCACATTTTAACTAACAAAAATGCAAAATATTAGCCTGAGGAGTTGCACCGAAAAAAGAAAAGCATGAAGAAAGTGTGAACATACACACCCCTATTTCTGTTCATCCAAATTGAGATGGATAATCACCATTTCTTATAGGAGAAGTATGTATACCTTCTCCTTCTTTCAGAAATTTGAAACGTGGTTTACCTAAAATGCCAACAATAGAACGTACACAAAGTTGTCATAGGCGAAAGGAAATCAATCAAAAAATCAAATAGAAGCTTAAACCTGCAATCGATTAGAAACATCAGATGAGGATAAAAACCTAAGATCCAAGGTTAAAGAGGTTAGGTATTCTGATTATCATTACATAGTTTTAGAACAATGTTTTGTAAATGATTAGCTTGATTTGGGATTTTGTTTGAAAACAACGATTTCACGTGATTTAAAAAAATGAAAATGTTTTAACTAGATTTTTGGGATGTAACAAGATCTTTGATTGAAAAGTGATTTGATAGAGTGGTGACAAATGCATTGAGGAAGGTAATATTGTTTCCAATAAAGTTGTCAACATAGACCAGAAGATAGTTAAGGATATTGTTATGGTTATATATGAACAAAGATGGGTCATCTCTAGACTTGCGAAAACCAGTGGAGACAAGGAAGGTGGTGAGTTCAATGTACCATGCTCGTGGAGTCTGTTTGAGGTCGTAGAGGGATTTTTTGATTTTACAGATGTGGGACAGAAACTGTGGACGAACGAAACCAGGAGGTTGAGACATATATTTTTCATGAAGAGTGCCCTGAAGAAAAGCATTATTTACGTCTAGTTGGTGGAGTGTCCAATTTTGGGATAATGCTATAGAGAGAATAATACAAATTGTAACGGGTTTGGTGATTAGGCTAAAGGTGTCGAAATAGTATTTCCTGTATTGTTGTGAGAACCCTTTAGCAACTAGACGAGCTTTGTATTTAGCGATGGCACCGTTCGGGCTTCGTTTGATGCGAAATATTCATTTTTATCCTATGGGTGAGTGGGAGGATTTAGGAACTAGTTCCTATGTACGTTTGGTGAGTAAGGCATTAAATTCTTGATCCATTGCTTGACGCCAGTGGGGATTTTTGAGATCTTGAGTGTGCGATGTATGTTCAATGGTAGGTGGTATTAGGTGTAGTGTTGAGGTGTTGACAATGAGGCATTAAAGTATTTAGGGTTATTTTTTCGAGGTCTGGTAGGTGGAACTCCGAAAGAGAGTGTTTTAGATTTCCCCAATGAAAATTGGATTGAAATTTATTAATTATGGGCTGCTAATTCTTTTTTAAATTCATGTTATCCCCCACTGGGACGTCAAGGTATGTAAAGGGAATGGAACCCAACACAAAACCAAGGATGTTGGCTCATTGAGTCGTTTCTTGACTGGAAACACCAATGCCACAGACCTTGGGCATATAAAACTTCACATTTAGTCCAGAAGATATATGAAAACATCTTAAAATATGGGCTAGGTTTTTTCAAGCTTGATCTAGACCGCTCACAAATAAATAAGGCGTCATTTGCATAAAAAAGATGAGAGATCATTGGCCCATCACCGGGATTTTGATACCTTTTAATATTCCTTTCTCTCTAGCTGATTATAATGCCACATTTAGCCCTTCCATCGTAATTATGAACAAAAATGGTGAAAGATGATCACCTTGTCGGACACCTTTAGATATATTGTATTCGTTAGTGGGAGAACCATTAACAATGATTGATGCACGTGAAGATGATAAACAACCCCAGATCCAAGATCGCCATCTATTACCAAAGACCATTTGTAATAGGATAGAGTCGAGGTACTCCCAATTAATCAAGTCGAATGCCTTGTCTAAGTTGACTTTGAAGAAGATGATATTCTTTTTGACATGTTTAGCCATGTCTCATGTTCATACGAATATCTAAAACAAAGGAATAAATGATTACTTATCTAAGGGTTGAATCCTGATTAATTTAGAGTTCGACAGTTGTGTTGGATGACCAACTCTGAATCCCAATTAATTTAGAGTTCAACATTTGCATTGGATGACTAACTCTTTGTTGATTATTTGAAAAAATATTGGACCTTGTATAACTGATGACTTGTCCAAGTGACAGATTGATTGAAATAGTGTCTAATGTCATTAACTATTAATAATATTTCAAAATAATAATAGGGTCCTGTAGGTTGCCTACATTGCACAAGTGAGAAATTAAAATAGAATTAAGGAGAAAATAAGTTTATTAATTTATTGTGTTTAATAAATCAATCATAAACTCTTTTGGAATTTGGAATTTGGAATTATTTAATTTAAGGGGTTGAATACTAATTAGTTAAAAGATTAACTAGTTTGAATACTCTAGAACCCATAATGGGTAAGAAGATTTCAGAATATCCACCCTACATTGGATGGGAGGTATTTTTGAATTATGTCTCCATCCTACATGGGATCGGGATGAAACTTGGTAAAGGCTTTAAGGTTATAAACAGGGTGCTAAGGGTTTCGTTATTTTTTGCACATTAGCTTGAAATTTTGTCTACTTCTTCCCTACCTTTCTATGAGACGAATTTCTTAACCCTTTTTTAGGTTTTGTAGAAATTTGGTTCTCTCCTAGTTTTCTTTTGGTTCTCTCTTTGGAATCTTGGGTGTGATTCTATTAGAGGGATTCTCGATTGGGTCATCTCATCCAAGCAACATGGTTGGATCAAGAAGGGATGAAGAGGGTTCAAAACGATCAAGACCGAGCTACACAATAGGTTAGTAATTATATATTTATTTAGTTGATTTATAATTTTAGAGTATGTTGTTATAATTAGTAAAACCTAGATCCTAAGGTGTGATGCATGTACACATAGAGATTAATTTGTTTATTTCGTTGCGCTAATCTAGTGTGTATTTATGTATTAAAAACTCAACATATGTTGTCAGATCTTCAGATCCAGTCTGGCCTTGACTCAATCATCAACTATGAAACAACCTCTAAGTCATATTTATAAGCTTAACATTGAAAAGCCAATTATAAGGTGTGTACAAAAAAAAAAGTTAAATGGTTAAACATTCACAAATAAAATCAATCAGCAAATGTGTATAAAAGTGAAAATATATTACATTATTAAGTTATTTTTCGGTAAATGTTTAATTCACTTATTTGCTTTTCTTTCTTTTGGCAATTATGCCCTTTTGATTTATGATTTCATTTTTTTTGGCAAATCTAAAACAATATTTTGATCAAAAAAATTCTAACATTCCACCAGATAGATAATCGATTACAATGAAATAAAAAGTCAAATTGTTTGAAACACCTAGCATTGTTGACCTGATAAAACAATTTTTTTTTTTGAGAAGCAAGAGTTAATATATATTTACATGTACATTTAGCAAGTTAAAAGTTGTGAAAAAACTATTTGAATATTTTTCAACAAGAAGAGGCAAAGTCCTTGAAGTATTCATCACCAATTTGTACCGAAAGATATTTATTGATTTCTTTTTGCCTTTTCTTTATCTATCATCTAATGCTAGATATATAACTAACTATTAACACCAAATTGTTCTTTGTTTCTGGCATTGGATCTCTAATTTTATACTAACTTCTTTAGTGTTGTCTAGTGATTAGTATCCAACCGAAATGATTCATATACAACAATATTTTCTTCATACATAATAATTTATGTTTTATAGAGCTGTAAATCCAATTATTAAAACACAAATTGAAGTGTATGAAAAAAAAAATTGTAAAAAAAAGCTCCACAAAATAAAATACATAGAATAAAACTGTAAGTTGATATAACTCTAGGGACCAAATTTGTAATTACTCACTTGGCATTTTAATCAGCACAAACAACACACAGTGACCGTCGCCCACAATCGGAGGAAAATGGCGCGCGACAAAGACCAGCCACCAGCGGTACGCGTCTATACGGTTTGCGACGAATCCAAGTTCGTATTCATATTCAATTAGTCGATTCTTGTAAATATAAGTTTAATTTGTTGTGTTTGATTATGTGAGCCCTAAAACAACTCAATTGCGGATTGTGATTTTGATATAGGTATTTAATCGTGAGGAATGTTCCTGCATTAGGTTGTGGTGATGAATTACGGAAATTGTTCGAAGGATATGGTGAAATTGACGAGTAAGATATCTTTTCCCTTTTCCGGAAGCGTCTTCAACCATGATGTTAATTATTGTTTTTTTTTTTTATTTCTTTTAGGGATTCAATTCGACTTCTTATTTCTCTTTTCTAGATTCACCCCATTGGACGACGAAGATTGCGAGCCATTTACTGATGTTTACTGGATTAAGTTTCATCAGGTCAACAATGCTAGGTGCTTCAAACAATTTGACTTCTTATTTCACTGTAATCGATTATCTATCTGGTGGAATGTCAAATTTCTTCATCAAAATATTGTTTTAGATTTGCAAAAAGGAAGTTGGATGAATCAGTTTTTATTGGAAATCGGATTCAAGTCTCATATGCGCCTCAATATGAGAACCTTAGTGACACAAAAGAGAAGTTGGAAGGTAGAAGAACAGAAGTTGTAGCTAGACTTAATCGTAAGTGTTGTATAATATCATATTTTATATTTACAAAGATTTTGTTTTCTAGATGGATTAAATACCTGTATAGTTTGTTATTGCTTTCAGCTGGAAGATCCAAGGGTTCTAGTGTTATGAATATGAGTGCAGTTTCTTCTAGTCAACCTAAATTGAATACAGCTCAATCTCAGACTAATTTCATATCACAGCCATTAAATATCCAACACAGGTTTGAATCTAAATCTTATTGCTTTATCCTACCTCTATCAGCAAATCTGGATTATATGTTCTTGTTGCAGGGACCCACTGGAGCCACAGGCTCAACATACAGTTCACAGTCGCACTCTTCCCTCAACAGTTTCGTCTAATCAGGTTTAAAACATTTTATATTATCTCATTTTTAGCATCTCTAATTTTTCTGACTTTTAGAAAAATAAAAATGAAAATTTTCTGAATCACCTTAACATTAGTCAATAATCGGGATTTTACAAATTACTTTTTTATACTTTTGACAAAATGGTAGGTTACTTTAATTTTATCAGTTGTTTATAAAACAAAACAAATACTTACAAAAAAAAGATTATACATTCCATATCCCTTTGACAAAATGGTGACTCAAATATTATTTGTGAAATATGATATCAGGATTATTTTCCATTAGAATCGATGAATCAGACAGTTCGATTGGTCAGGGAAAAACTTAACAAGGTGAGTCATGAATTACTAATTTCCTCTCCATTTAATCAGATGAAGTTTTTTTTTTTTTTTTTTTAATATATATAAATAATTTTTCTCTCTTTTAGATTGAATCGGATACAGAGACTTTAAAAGCCGGATCTTCTAAGAAACCACGAATTGACAATAGAAGAAGAATCTGATAGCCATTAGCTCTTTTCATCAAATTCTTATGAGGAGGGCATTCACGTCCTTTTGCACATACATGAGATTGAGAGCGAGTCTATGTCCCACCTTTTTGGATGGGACAAAAACTGCAAATTATGTCCGTTGACATCAGTATGAGTAGTAGTCAAATACATGTCAAACACAGTACAACACTACGACCTGTTGTGTCATATCTTCTCTTCTCATGCTTAACAGATGAGGCTTAATTATTATCTTATTGTGAACATGGCTCAAGGGGACTTGAAAAAGAAAATTGAAATTTGTGTACTTATATGAAATTGGGGTTTGGTTACTAATGAATTGTGATTATAGCCTAATGGCAAGGTCAAATAGTTGTAAGATTTTGGTTAAATGGGATGTCATGCATCAAGGAAAGTTGTGTTTGATTTGTTATAAAATCAGTTCAGCCATTTCACAACACTATATTGAACAAACTTTGACTCAAAGGAATGTTTTAGGATTGGTGTTTTTCCAAGGACTTACGATCCAAAGATTTTCATATCATGTATGTGCATAACTTCTTGATCCCACATAAGTTTGAAGATTCTCCATTGATAGATGTTTTTTCAATTGCATCAGGTGATTGGAGGCAGTCTCTCGGGAGTATTGGTAACAGTCCACATATAATGATTTGAATCACTTGGTCTCAAGTTTGCTTTAATTGAATTGTACATTGGGTTGCTTATGACTCGCAACCTAAGGCGAGCCTCATTGACTGTGTTTGCAAAAGTTTATTGCTAATTTGAAAAGTCAATTTTAATAAATAATAATAATATATAAATTCTAATATATAATAATCAAATATAAATCCTAAAATCTAACCTCAAGCATCCTGTTTGTAATTATAAAATAAAAATTGTTGTTTTTCAATTAATTGTCTGCGACACAAAGTTTGAGTTGTAACAGAAAGAGTCAAAAACATTGTTTTGATTAACTGGAAATCGACGATTTATCTGTTTTACTGTTTAGTTGTTTAATCATGGGGTATCAAATAACATGAACATCCTTAAACCATCATACATTTACGTACTTATGTATATGCATGCATGACACATTATATCTAAGACATACTTGACCCTTGAGAGTTAATTAGTTAATTGGCGTTTTTTTAACTTGGTGTAGGAGAGTGGTGTACGATACGATTCACCAACCAGATCTATTGGCAAAACCAAGAAACCAGTCTTAGTGAATTTAAGCTAAAGGTGATACTATATAATATTTTACATATGTTTATTTTATGCTTTGCAGTAAAAATATTGGTATAACATTTTTTTATATGTTATGATGTATCTTTTTCTATTATAATAAATGAAGATCAATTTTATCATATGTAAATCTTTTATAAATTTTGATACTTTTCATTTTATGATTTATTTAAAATAAAATAATATCCATATGTCAATTTATAGATTTTTTAAAATTTTAAAATTAAATTAAAATCACATAATATATAAGTAAAGTATTAATGTAATAAATGTAATAATAAATTGCAATAAATATGTTTTTCATTCATTATTTCAAAATTTTATTTTAAAAAATATTTATTATATATATTTTGATATTAAATATTTTTTTAATCAACCCGTGTATTACATGGGTTTACACCTAGTGGAAAAATAAGTAAACATATTTTTTTCATAATATAAAGTGAACATGGTTTTTTATAATAATCGTATCTCTCCCTCTCTGTCTCCCTCATATTAAAATAGAAAGGAATGAATCCCCTCTCGTACAATCCATGAACGCTTAGCGTTCGAGGTCAACCAGCTCGTCTTTTGGTAAAGTTGTGTACGATGGACATACACAACATTGCTGACCAAGTTTTACTTTTTGACTTTTTTGGACTTTGACGAGGATTTAACTAAGTTTAGCCTAAGGGTATTTTGGGTATTTTGAGTTGTATTTGAGGTTGGTCACTATTTGATGAATAGGTGATAGGTAGAGCTTAGATTCGGAGTAGAGACCTATTCAGCTATTTGTTCTGAGAAGTGAGTTTTCCTCACTGTACTTGTGGGTCAAAGAGACCAATGTCGACCCATTAGATTATGTATCTTGCTATACAGGATGTCGATATGTTATAGTGATTTGTTAGATCGGTATACTGGTAAATAGGATGTAGTATACGATAGTTTTTTGTAGATCTGCAAGTTTGTCTGACAACTGGTTATATGTTCATTTGTTGTTGGATATATGTTATATGTTATGTATATGTCCACATAGTAGGGGTGTGTATGGGGCGGTTTGGTTCGGTTATTAGTTAAAACCGAACCATAACCATTATGATTGGTTAATGAATTTTGATAGCCATTGGGTATGGTTAATATTGGTTGTGGTTAATGGTTTTTATCGGTTAACGGTTTGGTTAATGGTTAATATTAGTTAACCAAAAACTTAACTTACATAGAAGTCTTTATTATTAAGTCAAAAAAATCCTTCGAATAGGACAATAAAGTCAAAACAATCTTTGATTATGGTTAATGGTGTGATAAGTCTTCGATTAAGATTATGAGTGTGAAGATTAAACTAATTGTGAATAATGTTTACAAATTTTAGAATTACCCGATTAGGAATTACAACATTAATCAACAATCTAACTCATTTCATGATTGGAATATTGTGTGTGTCTGCACGATTAGCCTTTGTTGGTCTGATTACTCGTTCGTCTACTGATACGTGAGGATTAATGGATTGTATTTTGAAATTTTAATGGGTCTTAAATAATATTTACTATATTATTTTATATATAATTTATAATTTATATATATTAAAATATAAAGTTAGTTGTTCGGTTAATAATGGTTCGGTTAAACTATAAAACAATAACCGAACCGTTAGTTATCGGTTAAAAAAAATTAGAAACCGAACCAACGGTTTTTAAAATGGTTCGGTTATATTATGGTTCGGTTATATCGGTTAATTTGGTTATGGTTTGGTTTTTCGGTTATTATGCTCATCCCTACCACATAGTATGGTTGGGTTGAGGTTATACTGCTTTGTGAGGTAGCCAACAAGCATGGGAGCAAGTCAGACATGAGTTGTGGGCCTGAAGGGCAAGTCAAACTTATGTTATGGGCTCGAGAGCAAGCCAGATATGAGTTGTGGGCCTGAAAGGTAATCCAGATTCATATTGTCGGCTTAGGGGTAATCCAGTTTGTTAGTTGTGGACTCAGTATATGCTAGTATATGTTTGTGTGCTGGTACTTTGGGGGAACTTATTAAGATTTAGCTTACAGTTTCAGTTTATTATTTTAGGTATTTTCGATGGTCATGACAAGGCAAAGACGTGATCGTGCACATCCTTTGGTTTTATGTTGTTTGGATTTTTGGATACTCTGATTACTAAATTACACTTTTGAAACAATGGTTTATTAAACATTTATGGTTATGGGTTGTTTTGAAAAGTTAAAATTTATTGTGATTTTTGGGATGTTACACCTTCTTTTCACGATTTCAAAAAAATCGGAACTCTGTTCTTTCCCTTCTTGTTTTGATTTCCTTTGTCTGACATAGAACTGGGAAGTTAATCAAGTTATTTGATTTAATTTTGGAATTTGACATGATTGTGATTCCTTGTATGTTCTAGTGTTTTTGAATTTTTTTTATGAAGTTGTGAAATCGCTACTACGAGAAACCGAACAAAGAAAGCATGTCTTGTTTCTTGCTAAATCAATAGAACAAAAAACATGTTCTGGTTTCAATGGTATTTTGCTGTTTTGCTGATAATATATGTCATTTTGTTGGTTTGCTATCAATGAAATATGTATACCGTTTTTTTGTTTTTCAAGAAATTGTCTCAACTTAGTTTAACAATACTTAATCGTAGACAAAGGCAAACTTCATCGATTTTAACATGATGGAACGTTGTTTTACACATTGTTGTAGTCTTTTTGTTAATAATATTAAAAAAGAAAGTAAAATTAAGCAAAATAGACAAAAAGAGCAATTTTGTCATTGTGTATGGATCTTAATTCCTATTCCTGCAAACCAAATAGAATCTGTAATTAATTCCAACTTCATTTCGTGCCAACCAAACAGAATATAAAATTTGATTCAAATTCCTAACATATTCATTTTGCAATTCCAAATGCAATTCCTTCATCAACATTCTATAAACCAAACAAACCAAACATGCTCTTAATATATAAAACGCATAAAGTTTTGTTATATGATATACCACGACCAAAATTAACTATTTATACATTTTTTTTGTTTATATGTTTTGGCTTCTCCCTAACTCTAATGTTTACGTTATGCAATTACACTTAACCCTTAAACACTTGGATTGAAAGAGATCCTGTCAATATCGAATATGACTGAGCTGCTAAAAAGTATGTTGTTGTTTGTTGCCTTTAACATTTGGTGACATATAGGCGCCACATAGGATTTTACAATTCTTATCATTTTTTGTCTATGAGTAGGATGTGATGTCATCAATGCATCCAACTTTTTTTTAATTTAAAAAAAAAAATGTAATTGAGAGAGAGACCCAATTCTCGCCGTTGGCACAATGCCGCCGACAACATATGGTATCAAGGGGTGTTGTTTGCTGCCTACAATCTTTGTCAATTAGGATGTTGATGGCATTTGGTACTCCTACTCTGTTGAGTCCAAAAAATGTTTGTGTAGTCTTACATGGTGGCAAAAAGTATAAGTTGACAAGACTTCTAAGAAAGAAATGATTGGATTAGCTTATAATCATTTCAAATTTAAAAGTCATAAGATATTTTCTGAAAGTATTGACTTTTTAAAAGGAGTAAAAAATTCGTTTTTAAAAACACTTTTCATCCTTATTGAATGTCACATAATCGTTTTCAAATCTCACATCCAAATGGCCATGAACAAAGAACTTACATTATGTTCTTGGAATTGCGACGAGATGAAGGCCTCCATCAATGTGCAATGTAAACATCGTTTTATAAGTCACCCTTTTTGTTTCATCAAATAATTTGAACCGAAAGAACCGAATAAGAGCAATCGACATTATTTTCATTTGACGATAAGAGAAATCCCTCCCCAAACAAATTCTAGGACCAGCCTGCAAACACGACCAATTATTTAGATATTCCCACTATAAACTTATTATACTCATTTTCTAGTATATAACCTACAAAAACATCTACACTTACATGAAATGCAACGAATTTGAAAGGAGATTGTGGTTGGAAAATGCCATTATCATTTAGCCATCTTTCGGGCATGAAATCTTCGGCATCATCTCCCCAAATGTAAGACATTCTTCCCATGGCATACGATATATAGTACACACCATCCCCTTTTTCCAACTCATAACCATCGGGTAGAATGTCATCTGATTCTGCAACTCTTCCATCCTTGCATACAACCAAACATGATTAAGAAACTTTCCACTTTCATAATATCAAGTTAATTACTGTATTGCGGGTTTTTTTTTTGCTTTTTTTTATATGATACCGATACAAAGGCAGAGCTTGAACTTTTGATTTGAGGGGTACGAAAGTATAATATGTATCATGGAACCACAACCTTAATTTTATATTTTTAGGAAAGACTCTTCATGTTTGCCCTAAATAAGCATGTGATAATTTTTCTATCACGAGTATGATTTACTTTTTTATTAGCTTTATTTCCCTTCACAAAAGATCATTCATGACTTCCATTTTTAAGATTAAAAGGCAAAAAGTATTTCAAAATTCTAACTAAGATGTAATTACCACGGGCACTGCAGGGTATAGCCTCAAGGTTTCGGACAAAGCCGCATGGAGATAATGCATTTTCTCAAGTATTTCATCGTTAATCCGCTCCACAAAATCTTCAACATTATCCCCATTTTCTAATTGATACCCGATATGTTCTTCTATTTCTGATACAACTTTATCCTGTATTGCTGGATTCTTGCAAAGCATGTAGAAAAACCAAGAAAGTGTATTCGCACTAGAATCTTTTCCAGCTAGGATGAAATTTAGGATTATATCCATGAGATATCGATCATCCATGTCTGAGTCCTTCTCACTTTCGATCAAAAATCTTGAAAGTATGTCCTCCTTGTGATTCTTGGAAATCAACAACATGTTACGTAAAAAAAAAAAGTCAGCTTAATTGTATATCTAGTTCAAAGATCCCATAAGGTGTTCAAAAAAGAACAATCCTTATTCCTTACTAATTCATCAAATACAAGAGCAACAAGAATTTACATGGTGTTTCTGTGTTTGTAGTTGTTCTCGTCTTCTGCTTATCAGCTTGAGAACGAAATCATTGATCAATTTGATGTTCTTCTTAAGAGAAGCTTCACACCCGATATTAAGAAAACGCTTAAGTTTCCATAAGGGATCTACGTAACGCCAGTAAGTCAAAGCATTTGAATCATCAAACGCATCGATAAATGAGTTCCCTTCTTCATTAGATCCTTCTAGGCAATCCAGATCCACTCCGAACCCAACTTTGAAAATCGAATCCAAGCCACTTCTCATCAGCAAATTCTAAAAAAAAATATTCAATAATTCAAGAAACCAACTTCAGTTTTCTAAAGTTATATTCAAGAATCGGATTTTCTAGTTGACGTACGTGTATATCAAAGACTTCGTTGACCATGGCAAACTGAGAAACGATCCTGACTAGTTTTGCTGCGTTGGTTCTGAAAACGGCACAACTGAAGTCTCTTAAAACCCTAGTCGAGAACTCGAAACTTGCAAGCTTCCTCTGCTGCTTCCACTTAACGCCATCAACAGCGAAGATCCCATGGCCAAACAAGTCTGTAATTACGTCCTTATTATACTGGCCTTTCGTGTAGTTGTCGAAATTGGTTTTAAGTATGTATTCGATGTTTCTAACGTCGGTTGTGTATAACTCGCTTTGATCAGGGGCAAGAAGCCGGAAAGTATGGTGTTTCCGGGCAATATCAGCTAGGTAGTCATGGAGGGTGTTGAAGTAGAAGAGTTGACCAAATACAGTTCCGACGACCGGAGAGTATTTTGGGTTTCTGATTGACTTTCCGATGAAGATTTTGAGGATGAGAAGTGAACAGGCTATGGTGATTAGTATGAGACTAGTAGCTAAAAAGTTGAAGATGATATAGAAAAAATCCATAACTAAAGCATGGTTCATATATGTTGAATACTCATGAAGCTTTCGGAGGGAGGGAGGGGAGGGCTTCTAGAAATTAAAACGAGAGAGAGAGAGAGAGAGAGAGATAGAGAGAGAGAGAGAGAGAGAGAGAGAGAGAGAGAGAGCTTATATTTTATATGGAAAGACGATTAATTGAATACGTGAGTAATACAGTTTTAAATAAATGATGATGATATTATCAAAGAGATAGGTAAATGCACTTTAAAATGTCATTTGTTTTTTCGATGCAAACTAATCATCTTTCTTATTATAAAAGTACTCGAAAGAAATTATAAAATTTACAAGAACAAATGATTAATGATTATGGACAAAGTGTGGAAGTCCAAATGCAAAGGAATAAAAATTGACGTCATATATTTTGCATATAAAATTGCTCCTTACCGAAAAAAGTAGTGTTTTTGCATGTCGAGCTTTTCCTTACAAGTAAATAGACAAAATATAAAAATATAAATGAAACAAATGACTGGGCGTTTTTTGGTTAAAAAATGGATCAATTTTGTAAAATCACGGGTAGGATGATTTGTTTAAAACAAAAAAATAAATAAATACAATGGTTTGAAAAGTCGTCCACTAATTTTTTTTTCAGTAACAGTATTGCTGAGGAAATTACATTACTAAAAAAATGGAGGAGACAATGATGTTCTTATCGGTATCTACAAAGAAAAGAGCTGTGTTTAAAGATATATATTATTATGTAAACTAGGGTGAACGTGGGTCCGGACCAACGACGGATTCATAACAAAATGTGAGGGGTAGTATACCGGAAAAATTACACTATAACAAAAAATATTTGAGTAAATTACACGAATGGTCCCTATGGTTTAGGGTAATTTGTGTGTTTGGTCCCTAACTTATTTTCTTAACTCGGAAGGTCCTTACTGTTTGTTTTTGTTACGCGGTTGGTCCCTATCTTACCTAAAAAGACTATTATGCCCTTGATTTTTTTAAATTATCTAAATAAACACACCTCTAATCACACCTCCTCACCTTACCTTACCTACCCATCATTTTTTCTTCTTTAAATAATAGTCTTTTTAGATAAGACAGGGACAAAATACGTAACAAAAATAAACAGTAGGGACCAAACGCGTAACAAAAACAAACCATAGGGACCTTCCGAGTTAAAAAAATAAATTAGAGACCAAGCACGTAAATTACCCCAAACCATAGGGACCATTCGTGTAATTTACTCAAAATATTTTGTGCCAAAAAAATTAAGTGGCAGCAGAGGCTCCCACTAACACTAAGATTTGTAACTACACGGGTCTTTTATATATATATATATATATATATATCTTTTTTAAACATTAAAATGTTATATTTATCTAACTTAATTTTTAAATATTATACTTACCATTCATAAAATTTCAAAATATCATATATATATCCTTTTTAAACATCATAATATCATATATACCCTTCTTAAATATCCAAATATTGTATATGCATTTTTTAAACATCAAAATATCAATGGTAATATCTAAAATATCTTTCATCTACAACATAATCAACAAAAAAAACTAAACAATCAGAATATATATTCCATAGAGAGGGTTGAAGATGAATATTTTTGTTTGTCAAGAGGACGACATTCTAACAATTTAGAAGTTCACATTCCATTATCATAGAACTAAAGATAATATCGTTAAGTTTTTTTTTAATAATTATAGTAATTTTAAGTTATAAAAAATATTTATAAAATATTAAAAACATTATAAAAAAGGATTTGAGCAAATGTGATATTTTGAAGGTTTATGAAAGGTAAATATGATATTAAGAAATTAAGCTGGGCAAATATGATATTTTGAGGTTTAAGAAGGGTATATATGAAATTCTCCCTTATCAATATAGATGACAAAAACACCACTTAGTGGGGTAGGTATATGTTGGAGGTAGATTAAACTAAGACGATGTGTAATGGGCTCCAAAAAGTCGTGGAGGGCGATGTGGCGCCTCCACAATGGTGTTATAATGCAGTGAACACTACACCGGGATCTCATTAAGGCAAGTCTCGTTACCATGATAACATAGCTAGAGTAATTAATGTTTTTTTACCTATAAATACATACCAACTTACCCAATTATATTCACACCTTCATTTTCTTTCTCTATATTTTATACAACTTAAATACTCTTTAAAAAAAATTATGGATCCGCTCAACTCGTCTGACGATGATGATATGTTCATCATCATGATGTACATGTATTACAATAATGAGCTACTAGAAACAGATGTAGTCCCTCTACTAGCAAGACATGTAAAGTTAAACATAAATCATGATGAAGGACATAAACGCTTGTATCGCAATTACTTTGCGGATAACTGTGTCTACCTGTCAAAAGATTTTAAAAAAAAAGTTTCATTTGAATAAGAATGTGTTTATACGGATAGCCAACGCCTTGGAAAGCATGTATCGTTTCTTTCATTTTTATACATATTAAATAAACCTTTATATAGAATAAATACACATTTTTACCTATTAAATATATGTTTAGGTATCATTTTTTCCAATTAAGATATGATGCTAGAGGTAGGTCGGGATTCACAAGGTTGCAAAATGTGTTGCAATAATCTAATTGATGGCTTACGGGGAGTCACCTGATTCCATTGACGATTATATGAGAATGTCTAAAAGAACTATGAGAGAAAGTTTGTATAGATTGTCAAAAGGTGTTGTTGAAACATTCGGTGACGTTTATTTGCAGAAACCATCGTTAAATGATATGCAACAACTATATGCGGCACATGAAGAAAGACATGGTTTTCCCGATATACTTGGAAGCATTAATTACACATACTAGAACTGGAGAAATTGTCCATCGACTTAGATAGGTTCGTATACAAGTGGTCAACATAGAGTGCCTTCGTTGGTATTAGAGGTTGTTCCTTCCCATGATGCATAAATTTGACATACTTATTTCGAGATTGTGGGTTTGAACAACAACATCAAGGTTTTTTATTAGTCACAAATATTCAACGATCTTTTATCAGGAAAAGCATCGGGTGTTCCTTTAACAGTGAATGAAAACAAATATAAGTTGGAGTATTACCTTACGGACAAGGCGGCCCAATGGGTAGGGCAAGTTGGGGATAGCACAATGCCTAATAACTATTTGGGGCCCCAACTGCTATTTTCGATTTGTATATATTTAATATATATATAAAGTTGTTGCAAAAATCAACAATATTCACCTTTAGTGAAATTGGCAAAGCACTTGTAAATCTTTGCACACAACCTGAATTCTATTCCCCCCTTATCCACCTATTTTCCTCCTACATTAGCTTAGTTTTTATGGACAAATAAATTTAGTTCAAAAACCCTAATAAATGTTTGTTTGGTGTGGTAGGCTATCATCTTATGTAATTTGGTATAAAACATAACATAAATTTAAGTGAACACTTTTTTTATTTTTAGATCGGGCCCATATAGTGTGGTAGGCTATGATCTTATGTAATTTGGTATAAAACATAAAATAAATTGAAGTGGCCTCTTTTTTATTTTTACACCGGGCCCCATATATGTTTGGGACGGCACTACTTACGGAGAGAATATATCATATGTATTCCACATTCATGAAACATTCCGACATCCAGTGGAACCAAGAAAAAATTGTTTGGGAGAAGACAAAAATCAACATGTAACGATGTGGAACATGCTTTTGAAGTTCTAAAGTTAAAGCGACACTTAGTAGAACATGCGTCACAACCATTTGAGTTAGAAACTCTACAATAATTTATGTATGCATGTATCATAATGCATAACATGGTGGTAAAAGATAAATGACGAAATATTACACATTATATCCCAACGAAACCCAAACACATTCAATTTGAACCATGAACAATACAATATTTGCAAAGTCATTGATATTTAAGACGTGCAAAAACACATACAACTTCGAGAAGATTTTACAGTATATACGATGATGATGAATAGTGTATTTAGAAAAAAAATCGTCTTGTAATGTCTTTTTTTCAATTATATTTGTTTTTATAATTATAGATACTCGAATAAAAAGGAAAAAAAATGATGACTTGGAAATTATTTCATGTTATAACATGCTGATCATTTCCTATAATGATGTTATAACATCATGGACGATGTGGCATTTGAGGTGATACTTTTTTGGTGTTATAACTATGCACATATCCATTAGTCTAATGGACCGTTTAGATTAACCATAATACATGGTTGGACCAACTTCATTGCCTTCAACAAATATAAATATGTGCATCAAACTAAATATAAGTAGAGATGAACATCGGAACAGGCCCGGCCTAAACCGGCCTGGGAACCGAACTTGGTGGAAAATAGGAACCAAACCGAACCACCGGTTCTTGTTGTGTCATCAATGTTGGAACCGAACCTCGCGAAATAGCAACATATGGTTCCGGTTTTTGCCAGTTCTACCAGTTTTTTCCGGTTCCGGTTCCAAAAAATCCACTAGAATATCATCATGGTCCTGGCCCGATCGGTTCTATCCGGTTCCGGTCAGTTCCCCAGTCTAAATGCTCATTCCTAAATATAAGTCTGAAAATTTCAAGGTGTTTAGAATTTTGATAAAACAAAGTAATGAATCAACTAGACAAATGGATAAGATTCACAAATCCAGTAAGGATAGTGAGCATCTTAATCAAATATCTAATGATTATCTAAGGAATTGTGAAATCATTTCACAACAATTTCCACTCAAGATACAACCATAAATAGTTTAGTTGCAAGAAGCTTTAGGTTCTGGTTCTGCTACTACTGATTAACTGCAAGAATCTTGATTTTTATAGCAATATACTTTGTATTTTTAACTTTTTATAACAATGCACTTTTTTTATAGAATTTAGCCATTTTTTGATAGAAAATACATTGCTATTAAAAAAATATAAACTTTCTACTTTTTATAGCAACGTCCTTTGTATTTTTGATTTCTTTTAATAATGTACTATTGCCATGCTTTTCCCTAAACAGAGCACTTGCAAGAATAACAACCAAGACAACTTCAATTAAAAAACAAAAGGTGGACTGATTTCCAACACTACTTCACTTAACCTAAAAAAAATTTTAAAAAAAATTGAAACAAATAAATGTAAGTAAGATG